TTCAGAGCGGGATAGGCTGGGTTTTTGGATTTGTTGAAGGTTTCACCCCAGCCTCGTCGTAACTACTTCGTTGCGTCCCCATGCCGATGGCTAAGGGTGCCTGCGGTGGAGGGCTGGCATCGGGATTCGTGCGAAGGCATCCCTCAATTCACAAGGAATTCATCGAGACTCCCAGCCTCGTTGTAGCGACTTCGTTGGGTGCCCATGACCATGGGAGCCTGCGAAAGTGGGTAAGGGCCCTCGCGACACAAGGTGCAGATCAAGAATCCGAACCTCGTTGTGGCTACTTCGCTGCGTACCCATGCCGATGGCCAAGGGTGCCTGTGGTAGAGTGCATTCGGGATTCGCACGAAGGCTACCCTCAATTCACACGGAGCAAATTGAGCATCCCAGCCTCGTTATAGCTACACCGTTGGGTGCCCAGGACCATGGGAGCCTGCGAAAGTGGCTAATGGCTGGCCCAAGGGCTGGCTTAAGGACGTGTGCGCAGGCATCACCTCGAGACACAGCCTGCAGATCGAGAACCCCAAATCCCGACCTCGTTGTAACTACTTCGCTGCGTGGCCAAAGGTGCCTGTGGCAGAGGGCTGGCTTCAGGATTCGTGCAAAGGCTTCCCTCAACCCACAAGGATCTAGTCCCCCAGCTTCGTTGTAGCTACTTCGCTGCGTGCCGAGAGATGCTGAGCGTGCAAGCCCCGAAACGGGAAATGGTTTTCTGTCCCAGGCCAACCGCAAGAGAGTTTTCGCGGTATCAGATCGATGCCCTGAATGGGCCTTTACACACACTCACTGAAAGATAATATATATATATATACACATATATATATATATGTGTACGCACACAGACACCCGCAACTGCCGAACATCAAGTGTGAGGGTTATCCGCTGAGTTTTCTTTAAACAAGCCTTGAGCTTGGGATTCCTCCGAGATACAAGATGATGTAGGAATATCTTGCTTTGTCTCCATCGGCTTCAGCGTGGAACAACAGGGGTTGGGTGGAGTTGGGCTTCAGGACTGTGGGCTTCGGTGCTTCGGTCTGAAGGTGCTTTTGGGCTCATCGGTTTCTGATGTAGCGCGGGAATCAAGCACATGCGGTTCTCAAAGCAGATGTCGCTGCTGGGAGACTGCGCCTCTAAGCCAGGGAAGGAACTCAATCCTTGCATGTTCTGGTGTGGCCTCAGGCCCCTTTCGGGTGCCGACCACCGTCGCTGGCATCGGGTAGGTGCATGCCTCGGAATCAGAATCCCAATCCCTGAGCCTAAACGGTAGTAGAAGGAGCAGTAGCAGTAGCCGTAGCAGTAGCCTTCTACCACAACTACTACTGCTGTTACTACTACTTCTTCTGCTGCTGCTACT